TTTCCCTGCTGATGTCTTGCTTACCTGTCACACAGACCGTGAAATCATCGCCGCAGGACACCTGGCGGATAGCTTTGCCTTGCAGCTTTTCCACATGCTTTGGCTGTCGGTAGGAGGCTTTGTCTCCATGGCCCAGCTGACCATGGAGTTTAGTACCCCCTTGCATGTTCTGTGAAATAAAGAGGTCTTGAGAAGTTTGAACTTTCCATACTGAAAGCTCATCTTCAAGATAATGTTCTCAGAAGAAAAATGTTAGGGGAAAAAAAGCTAGAAATTGGAAAATAGTGGGTAAGCGAATGAAACCTTTTAATAGCAGGTAGTATGAAATCCCTGCCAGGCAAGCTAGTTGGCATAGTGATTAAGGAGGGTGGGTCCCACAAGGCCAACTGCATGGTTTGAGTCCTGGACTCAATACACACTAGGCATATATGCGTGCCCAGAATCATGAGTGAAGGGTCTGCAGTGTGGTCATTTCCCCTTGGGAGGGGTGCTTTCTCTCTTTCTCTCTTTGGCAAGCTCAAGTGCCCTATGGAAAATTAAAAAAAAAAAAAAAATCCTACCGAAAGGTAAGTATTAGAAAACTCTTCAGGTTGAGGGCCTGCCAGATGGTGTGGTTAAAGGGCTGAATCCCATATAACTTATTCCGTGGTTCAAGTCCTGAACCTAGCCGCTTAATAAGCTCTCTGGGCATGTGTGTGTGCATGCCCCAAAATCATGAGAGGAGAGTGGAGGAGGAGGGGCTGTGGCATGGCCATCCCCCTGGGTAGTGATTTCTCACTTTCCCTCTCTGGTGAGAGTGCATGTCCTATAGAAAAATCTAAAAAACAAAACAAAACAAAACAAAAAAACTCCAGATAGATTTCCATCAGGTTTTTAATTTTTATTTATTTATTTTTTAGAGAGATTTTTGCTATGGGATGCATGCGTTCACCAGAGAGACAGAAAGCAAGAAATCACCCCCTACCCCATAGGGATGGCCACGCTGCAATCCCTTCTCTCTCATTCTCTTCTTGGGACTTTTGGCAAACATGCACATGAACCCAGTGTGAGTTTTGTTTGTTTTAATAATTATTTTATTTAACTTTATTTATTTATTTATTTATTTTAACTTGACCAGAGAGGGACAGAGTGAGCAAGAGAGCGAGAAAGTGAGAAAACGGCCTGTCAGGTCCGGACCTCGAACTATGGTTGGCCATGTGGGAGTCCAGCACCCTTAATCACCACACCACCTGCTGGCCCTGTCCGGTGTGAGTTTTAAGCAGTCAGGGCTAGGACATGAACTGCTGTCAACTATGTGGGAGTTCAGCAATGTAACCATTACACCATCTGCTGGTCCCATACACTTTTTTTTCTAATTTGTCAGAGGGTACATGTACTTGCTGGAGAGAGAGGGACAGAGAAAGAAAGGTAAAGTGAGAAAGTACTTTCCCCATGGGGCATAGCTATACCATAATCCCTTGGGATTTGGGAGACACACACACACACACATACCTACATACATACGCACACTCACACACAAATGCAAATGCATTCAGAGTGTGTCTCAAGCTGCTGTGTCTGAGACTTGAACCATGCAGTTTAAGCCATGTGGGATTTAGTCATGTGGGATCCAGCCACCTTAATCACCACATCACCACTGGCCCTCCATCAGGTCTTAAAAGGACACATTCATAATTTTGTCTTTATTTTTCAAGTCTAAGGTAAACTACATGTATTTACCTATAGGCAATGGTAAAAAAAATATTAAAAAATTCTTTATAAAGTCTAAATTTGATTGCTTTCTATAAGAATACAGCCTCTTGGGGCCAGCAGATAGCGTGGTGGTTAAAGGCGCTGGATTTCCACATGGCCGACTGTGGTTCAAGTCCCGGACCTGGTGGCTTGCTTTCTCACTTTCTCTGTCTCTGTCTCTGTCTCTCTCCCTCTCTGGTCAAATTGAAATAAACAAATGGATAAATAAATAAGGTTAAATAAATAATAATTAAAAAAAAATAAAAAGGAATACAGCCTCTTGGGGATCTGTTGTAGATGTTTTATAAGTTTCTCTTGCAGTTTCCAGGAAGCATGAACAGTTAAAAACTATCTGGCTATATCAAAGAGGCTGCTATATGGCACTGAAAATAGTCCTCAGTCACTTCTCAGCAGCTTGTAGAGATAAGTATTCTTTCCATTCAAATGACTCCAGTGTCTTTAAGATTCTAATTCCACTCTATTTTTGGTGCACCTCCCTCCCCCCCAGGGGCTACTTCTTTAAGGGAAGCGGTTTTGGGAAACAACAGCAAATAATGCTCTATAACTAAGATCAATTCAATCATTCATACAATCACTCAATAATTATCTACTTTTGGGGGCCAGCAGGTGGCATGGTGGTTAAGGTGCTAGACACTCCCACCTGGCCAAACACTGTTTGAGTCCTGGACCTGGTGGCTTGCTTCTCACTTTCTCTCTTTCTCTCTCTGTCTCTCTCTGATCAAATTAAAATAAATGAATGAATAAATAAAATTAAATAACTAATTATTTTTAAAAATAATAGTTTTCTACTTTCTCAAGCACTGGGGATAAAGCAATGAATAAGATCAATATAGTCTCTGTCCTCATGGGGAAGGTATCTAAAACCACTGGAAAAAATGAACTCCATTGTGAGAAGGGACCAAAGGTCTAAGACTAGGCTCGGTAAAGAGAAACAGCCTAAAATGGGTCTAAGTAGGTACAGCCAGAGAGACAGGAGGAAAGCCAAGAGAACATGCCATCATGGGAGCTACAGGAAATAAAACTTCAAGAAGGATGGAGTTGAATCCTGCCAAGAGGCCAAGCTAGGTAAGGACTGAACAATAGGTTCTCTTCCAGCAAGCTCCAGGCCATTTTGTCAAGACTGGTGGCGACTGGGCGGCAGGGATCGTGGGTGCATCACAGGTAAGTGAGGAGACAGTGGAAGACATGGACATAGCAAACACAGATGATGTGTTGACAAGGTGGGAGGCATGGTGGAATCTACAGGGCCACAAAGGGAAATTCTACACCAGGTATACATAGCCACCTCCAATCACTGCTAGCATCTGGGAGGCTTCCTGACATGGTAGAGTGAGTGCCTCATTTGTTTAAGAGCTATCTCATAGCTACGAGGTGCTCTGAACCTCATGTTAACAAACGCAGTAATAAGTACTTGTCTGAAATCACCTGCACACTCCTGTGAAGAGGACATCCCAGACTCCTGAATCCAAACCCAGGGCTCCTTTAATTTCCCCTTTCTCTCATCCATTCATTCAAAAAGCATGCATGGGTGACCTAATGTATACCAGCCTGTCCACCAGCCTGTCCACCAGCCTGTGATGCCACCAGGGTGAACTAGATACAATCCCTGCTCTCCTAAGAGCTGCACTTCACCACACCATGCTGCTGCTCCCATAGCACATGCTCACCCACTCTGGGCCCGGGGACCAGCCAGACTGAACCACTGTCGCAGGGGCTCAGCGTTCACTTACCACCCAGGTGTACAGTTCCTTCTCCACTGTGACCACAGCAAAATGGGTGTTCCCTGCGCACACCTGCCGGGCGCTACAGCCACTTTTGATGACATCCAGTTTCTGGGGAGTAGATTTTCCACCACCCCAAACATAGACTTCACTGGTTCGTGATGTTACCACAGCAATGGGTGCTTCGGTCACAGTGCTTGACCTATCAGCAATCCCCAGAACAAAGGCACATTTAACATAAAAACCATATCAAAGAAAAATGCTCCCAGTGTTCCCTGAGAATTATGTTCCCTGCCAATTATGGTATGAGAAAGTACAGTATTTCTCGAAAACTGACTTCAACCCTCTATCACAGCAAGCTTTGTGACTCCTGCCTCAGGGCTTCACCCCCACTCAGGCAGATCAGATTCCAGTCTGCTCCCTAACACCTACACTTTTCCAAGTTCATCATGGTAATGATGGCCACTTTAGCACGAGGTGAAATGATAGCTTCTGCCTTCTGAGAAATGACTCTCTGCCATTTAAGCACATGCTAGCTCCTGAAATGATGCCAAAGGCCACGGGATCAAACAATATATAGTCCCGAGAAAGACGCCCCTTCTGGTAATTTGGATTATATTAACTTTCAAAAGTCTCTTAAGCATTACCTTGGTCTCTTTGTAGTTGCATTAAGCAGAGTGACTTTTTCCTCCATCTCTCTACCAAAAAAAAAAAAAAAAAAGCAAAGACAAATGAGTGAAATAATTGGTTTCTATAATACAACACTAGCTCTCTAATACATTTCACAGATTGAATCCTCTTTTAAACTGAATGGATCCTATGACATTATACTATTTTCATAAAAATACCTCGATACAACTCAGTTACACGGGCCTCGCATTAGACAATTCATTCAATACAAGGTCACCAGTTGGGGCCACTTTCTTTCTATCTCTGGAGGACAGAAATCTGTGATGCATATGTGTAAGCTGGAAATCTCCATCTAGTCTGCCCACTGACTCCCCACACTCAACAGCTTCCAATTTGAGCTTATTATCTTTCTCCCAAATCAGCGTTTCTTTCTGACTTCCTTACTTCTGTAACTAGCAATACTCCTCCTGCATCCTCCTAATCAACTGGGCTTGAGTCAGTCGTCTGATTCATCTCTCTCCCCTTCTTCAATATTCAAGTTCCAGAGAGTCTACCCATACAGTACATTTTATACTCAGCTCTTCTTTTCCAGTCTCACCACCTTCGTTTTGGGAGCTTTCCTTCCTGCCAGCACTGTGGTAGCACCTCTTAATCAGTCTTGCTCACTAGGATCTTAATCCACTTTACTATATAAATCTAACACTAATACTTGTATTGCTCATAACTCTTAGGTATGCCTCTTGTCACATGAACTGTCCTTTCATAAATGGCCAATATTTCTGTACTATCTCTTAAATTAAGCCCAAATTCCTGGGCCTGGCATTTGAGATTCCATGCATCTCTCTCCCGGCATCCTCCCCTTTACCTGTACCCTATGTTCTAGACCAGGGTGGTCACTCTGCCTAACTGAATTAAAGCTAAACTACCGGGGGAGTGCTCAGGCACTTGAAAGTTCCTGAGATTTTACACTGAGAGTCTCAGCTCTAGAATTACTAATTCAGCCAAATAATACTTTGTTTTTCTTGAATATTCCATACAACTTTTTGCATTTGTGCTTTTGCTTATGCTATTCCCCTCCGAAAACTCCTTGTCTTCTGTTTTTCCAGCAAAGAAGTTCTAATCAGTACTATAACAAGGTACTATATGTGAATCTTTAATTTTTTCAATAAAAACGTCAATGAAAAGTTATTAAGCAGAATATTTCAATAGGAAATTAAAACAGTGATTATACTGTTGGGAAATCAGCCAGATAAAAAAATTTGACTGTGCTTATCCAGCCTCAAGGAATGCTAGTGCCTGAATATGCACATAAACCATGGTCACTGTGCTGTGGCTAGGAACTCTAGGAAGCAAACGCCTGGCTAAGACCAACTGCAGAAGAACCAGAAAAGATTACTGCAATGACATGACAGAATATAAGTATTACAGGATTAAGGTATGTACTTCATGTATATAAGGATAAGATTTGAAAAAGCATATTAGTAAATGTTTGAATATTTGAAGAATATAAAAACAAAGAACTGGAAGGGAAGAAAGAAGGTCAGTAAGGCACAATATTAGGTCATCGGGAAAGTCATGACGTATTTTTCTATGTTTTTCTGTGAAAAATGTATAATGACTTTCTCAATGACCCGATAGTATGATAGGATGAGATACAGAGTAGAAACTATAAGGAAGATAAAGAACACCTCTTCCTGTAAGTGAAGATTTGAAGCCTCCTTTAGGAAGTGAGAGATAATGGACATTCTTCCTATCTCTACAGGCCTCTGACAGAATAAATCTTAGGAAGTAACCTGTCAGGAGTCAATAAAGTTCAACTGCAAGAAATGGGAAAAAGTCCTCCAAAGAGGCCTCCTCCAACTTCAATCTGCTACCTAAATAAACGCACTAAAATAGAAAGACCTAGTCCAAATTCACTATCTAATAACTATTGAGCACCTGTGTCCGGCCCTGGGTTGAGCACTTTACATGAATTGCTTTCTTGAATCCTCACTTTACCACACTTTGTACAGGAGAAAACAAAGAAACAGAGATGTTAAATGACCGAACAGGGGCCAGCCAGTGGCATGATGGTTAAGAGGCAGCTGGATCTCACATGGCTGACTACATGGTTTGAATCCCAGACCCAGCGGCTTGAAAAATACAGCAGGTGCAACACATGCGCGCATGCATATGTGTGCTCAAAATCCCAAGAGGATAATGGAGAAGGGACTGTGGCATGGCCATCTACCTCGAGGAGTGCTTTCTCACATTCCCTCTCTGTCTCTTTGCCTCTAGTGAATGCACATGCCCTATTGCAAAACTAAAACAAAACAAAAAAACTTGATAAAGCTAACTAGAAAACTCAGGTATAAACCTAAGGATGTCTGAGTCCAGAGCCCTCTCTCCCTTTATTTCTACACTCTGATGCCTCCACGCTAGGTTAAAAGCCCCACAGATGCCTAGCTGTGGAGATGCAAGAGGGAGGGCATTGCTGATTGATGGCTGAGGCCACATGGGAGTCTGGATGGGGTTCCTGGCTCAACCTAACACAGACAGGGTATGGAGGTACATGCCTGTGGTCCTAGCCAACCAGGTGGCTGGGGCAAGAGGATTGTGACTAGACAAGATCCTGATTCAAATACCTCTCCTTTCTCTCTTCCCTCTCACTTGCTTGCTTATCCTCCCCATCTCTTCTCTTTCATTGAAAAACAAAACAAAACAAAGCAAAACAAAACAAGGGGCTGGCAGGTGGTGTGGTAGTTAAAGGCACTGGACTCCCACATGGCTGACCATGGTTCAACTCCTTGGACCTGGCATCTTGGTTTCTTGTTTTCTCTTTTTCTATGTCTTGCTTGGTCAAATTAAAAAGAAAAAAAAAAAAGGATAAATAAAATAAAAGAAATAATTATTTTAAAATAAAACAATACAATAAAAATACCCGAGATAGTTGGAGTAGAAAGCTCTTGGGTCTCATCAGTGCGAATTAAGAACAAAACAGCACACGCTAAGAAGGGGGAAGTCAGGAGCAACTTTCAAGTGATGAAAGAAGTGTTGGTAAAAATAGCACTGGAGGGGCTGGGTTAGGAAACATCACTCTTCCCTGTGATGCTCTGACAGGCCTCTAACAGTCAGCTACCTCTGTGAAGACAATGGAGTGACTCCTTTGTCCTTACCGCCTGCGTTTCCTGAGAAGGGGGCGATCCAGAAGTTCATCTGCAGTGGGTCTCTGCTCAGGATCCTAAAAAGCAAAATTAGGGTTAGTTTTCACTTAAGTGGAATAGGAAATACAGGATCTAAAGAGGCACTTTACTTCCCCTTAGAAGACTGTGGGTTAGTCAAAGACCACTGTATGCTATCCTTTTGTTAAAAAAGAAAAATGATTTGTTACGTCACAGTCCGTGTTTCAACACCCGTACACGGAGGACATTTACAAGGACCGTCCTTACTTGTTCAATTAGGGCAGCTGCTCTCAACCTCAATACATCCCGCACAGGATTACCTGAGGTACTTGTTACAAATAAAGATTCCAGTGCTTTGTCCGCAGAGACTCCGACCCAGTTGGTTCGGGGTAGGGCCCTGGAATGTTTCATGCATGAAATTCCCCCACTCTGTGATTTTAATGCCAGTGGTTCAATACCACACTTTGAATGACATCAGAAGGACACAGCAAGGGAACCGTGAGCTATCAGAACTGTTTAATTCTGTACATTAGGAGCTCTAAATTTGACTGCAGTTTTTAAGATCAATTTACAGACACTAATCTTGTTCTTAAAAAAAGTGGAGCATAATTTAGATGGCAAAATCATTTCACAAGTGAATAATTACAGAGCAGAACAAAGTAAAAATGTGTTCACTGAAATAGACAACTATCATGAATTGCCAGTGCTGATTCTGGGTATGGCTACAAAGATACATATCCTACCCATGGATCTGTGTAGTTTCTGTCTATACTGTACCCCGAACACTGAGGCTGGAAGGAGATACCACTAAAATCAGTGTTTAAGTCACACCTACCTGGTCAAGGCACTCATGGACCATTTGGATCAATTCCAGAGAGTACTGGCTAGAATCAACCTCCATGGCACGAATTCCTTGCACGATCTTCACACACAGGTTGAGTGGATTCTAAGAGAAAATGATGACTGCATTGTTCCTGGTTATATAAAGATAATGTTATAATCTACCAGTAGGGGCTCTGAGATGTCTGTGACCATTATTTAAAGAACTGGCACTAGTTCTGCATTAGGTCTGACTTTCTGCAACTGTAAGCATGTGTCAGCAAGACATGGTTAGGGATGCACTGCTGCTATGGGATGGAATGAGGTCAGGAGATTAAAACTATGACTGTGTGGCCACTAGCATAATGATCAGAAATATTACCTCCTGACCCTTCTGAACCCCAAGGAAAAGGGAAGCAAGATTAGCTATGCTTGTTAGCTCCATGTACCTCCTTTGTCAACTAAACTGCCTCCTAATCCACAGATCCTTTATGGACAATACTCTGCCGCTATAGACAAGGCAGCAAGTAACAATAAGGTGATAATAATAACAAAATTAAATTAACACCACCACCTTATTGAGATCACTAGGCAGCTATATTACATATATGATCTTTCTTCATTACAAACATCATGCAAGGAGGTTATTTTATTTATTTATTTACTTTTGAGAGATTTTTCCTATACAGTGTATGGGCTCACCAGAGAGACAGAAAGCGAAAAATCACCCCCAAGAGGGGATGGCCATGCTGCAACCTCTTCTCTTCTGTCGGGATTTTTAGCACATATGCACATGTGCCTGGCATGAGTTTTAAGCTGCCAGGTCTGGGACTCGAACCGTGGTGGACTATGTGGGAGTCCAGCAACATAACCATTACACCATCTGCTGTTCCCATGCAAGGAGGTTATTACAATTATCAATTTGTATGTGAGAAAAATGGGGCTCGGAGATGCAAAATAATTTGCCCAAAGACACACCCACACACAGTAAAAATGGAGCCATAATTCCAACCAAACTGACTTTAGGAGTCATTTTCCCCCATTACATTATTTAGGAGAATTACATGATATACTAAAACAAACTTCAGAGTATACAAAATAAATAGGTGTCATGGAAAGCCAGGGAATTTGCATTCTCTTATATTATCAGAGAATCTCTAAGTAGGATATATGCATATTATTTCCATGCTATAGATACAGAAGTAGACGATCAAGAGATGAAGTATTTTGCCCTAACTCTCACACCTGGCTGGCAGAGGCGATGGATGGGAACCTACGTTAGGGCCTCAGAGTGTGGTCTGTAGATGAGCAGCACAGCATCATCTGGGAGCTTGGTAGAAAGGAAGCTACTGCCTCCCCAGCCAATCCTACTGAAACAGAGTCTGCATTTTACCAAGAGGCCAGGGTAATTTTGTATGCATATCGAAGTTTGAGAAGCATGGCTTTACACCAACCTTCATTTTACTCTAAAAATAAAAGATAATCTTTAGTAAGTCAGTTTATAATTTTTCATTTAAAAAATGATTTAATGGATATTACATAACTTGTGTTAGCTTTAAAAAAATTACATAGCTAAAGCATAGTAAGTGAAATAGTTTTTCTAAACTGTAGCCACACACAGTAGATTCTCAAACCACTTTTAAAATTATAGTCAACAATTTGGGGCCAGCAGGTGGTATAGTGGTTAAGGTGCTGGAATTTCCACATGGCTAACTGCGGCTTGAGCCCCAGAACTGGAGGCTTGCTTTCTCTCTTTCTCTCCCTCTCTGTCTTTCTCTGGCAAAACTTATGTGGGGGGAAAATATAATTCTTTAAAAAAACCTATAGTCAACAATTTATAGTGTTCAAACTATTAATACTTGATTTTGATGATTTCAATGAGAAATTTAATCTGGAGATAAATCTAATCTATAACATTTTAATAATATCCAGGTACTACTAATCCAGTCCTTGAATACAGGCTGACTTCTGTTTAAGAAATCAAAAGCTGGGACCGGCAGTTAGCATAATGGCTATGTCGCTGGACTTCCACGTAGTCAACCGTGGTTCGAGTCCCGGACCCGGTGGCTTACACTCATGCCGGGTGCGTGTGCGTGCGTGCCCAAGATCCTGAGAGGAGAATGGAGGAGAAGGGATTGCGGTGTGGCCATCCCCTCTGGAGGGTGATTTCTCGCTTTCTGTCTCTCTGTCTCTCTCTGTCTGGTGACACGCGCCCTATAGCAAAAACCTCTCAAAAAAAATTAATTAATTAATAATTCAGGAATAGATGGAATTAATTTGTTTAACCAAGCTGTACCACTTGTAGGGCCAGGGCCAGCCCTAGAGTACAGTGGTTAAGCATTTGCTTTGGGAGCTGGATCCCACATGGCTGACCAAGGATTGAATCCTGGCACAGTAGCTTGAAAATCATGCTAGGTGCATTTGTGTCTGTGCCTCCAATGGAATGGAAAAGAGGAGGAAAATGGATTGTGGCATGTTCCTACCCCTTGGGGAGTGCTTTTTCTCTGTCTCTCACTGGTGAACATATGTGCCCTCTAGTAATTAAAAAAATGAACAAAAACCAGAGAGCCAGTAGGTGGTTTGGTGGTTAAGGTGCTAGATTCCACATGGCTGATGCTACGGTTCAAGTCCAAGATGTGGTGGCCTAAAAGACCTGCTGGGTGTGTATTTGTGCACATGCCCAAAATCCAGAGAGGAAAATGGAAGAGAAGGGATTATGGTGAGGCCATCTCCCGGGGTGGGGGTGGTGGGGAGATGATTTCTCACTTTCCCTTTCTTTCTGTCTCTCTCCAGCAAGCACATGTGCTGCACCTTATGGCAAAAATCTAAAGAAAACAAAATAAAATAAAGCAAACAAACAAAAAACCCCTGAAAACCATTTGTAGGAACAATTTGGGGATAATACACCAATAACACACCAACTTACTGTAGCATCAAATGTTCTTTTTAGCGTAAGCAGTTCAAAAATGACACAGCCTACTGCCCAGATATCAGACTTGAAATTGTATTTTACTCCTTGGCAGAGCTCTGGAGACATGTAATACGGGGTTCCTACAAGCTGAACAGTAAAGAAAGCAATCAAAAATAACTTCTTTTCAGAGGTAACTATATTAACATTTCAACAGCTAAATTAAATTTCCCAGGAAGAAGTGATAACACCCATAAAACATTCCTTAGCAGATCTTAAAATGGTTATTATAAGAGGATGTCTCTATGGGGAGCAAGCTTATTCCTATCGAATCACTTGGACCAATTTTAAAGGACAATTGTTATGGAAAAGGATTCTGGTAACAGGGGAGGCTCAGTATCTCTGTGATTCCAAGATTACAGAAGGTCTAAGGATTCAAGACCTACTGAAGACTTCACACAGAGACACAGCGTAGTAAGAGTTTGCCAATGAGAAAAAGCCACACACCAGCAGCGGAGGGATATGATGGAGGAGTTAAAACATTCGAACTGAAATGTACAGCAACAAAACTTTTTTTGTCTGCCATAGGGTACAAGGGCTCATAGGGGATAGGGCAGGGTTGCGTGAGTGGGATTATCTCCAGAGAATGGCCACACCACAGTCTCTTCTCTATTCTCCTCTTGGAATTTTGGACACACATGCACACGTGCCTGTTTTTTAACCACAGATCTAGGAACTCAAATCACATAGTTGGCCATGTGGGATCGAGCTGCATTAACTGCCATGCCACTCGGTGACTCATAACGAAACTTTTTAAATGGCCGAATTTTACATTTGTTACACTAACGCGGCTAGTCAATTTTTGAATTTGAAAAAGATTTTCTCACATTATGGGTCAACCCCATAGCACAGAGGTTGAGCACACCACAGAGGAAGCTGGATTCTACATGGTTGACCGGGATTTGAGCTCCAGTCCCATTGGCTTTATACTGGGTGAGTACACAGCGACAGGATGGAGAGTTGGAGGAAAGGAGGTTGTGGCATGACCAGGCCTCATTAGGGGAGTGTGCATGTGTACTTGAACATTTTCTCTTTGTAATATGTGCTCATACACCCTCTAGCATAAAAGAATAAAAATAAAGAAAACATGGCTGACTCCATAGCCTGGTGGTTAAGGCAGCTGGATTCCACATGACCACCTCCACGGTTCCAGTCCTGGACTCAGTGGCTTGAGAAAAATACGGGGTGCATGTGCATGCATGCCCAAAATTCCTAAAGGAGAGAGAGGCTGAGAAGAGACTGAGGTATGGCCATTCTCCATGGGGGTTGCTTTCTCTTCTCTTCCTCCGATTCTCTCTGGGGAGTACATGCACATTCTACCAAGGGAAAAAAAAAGGGTTTGGGGGACCAGCAGTTGGCGTAATGGCTATGTCGCTGGACTCCTATGTAGTCGATGGCAGTCTGAGTCCCAGACCCAGTGATTTAAACTCACACCGGGCGTGTGTGCGTGTGTGCCCAAGATCCTGAGAGGAGAATGGAGAAGAGATTGTGACATGGCCATCCCCCCCGTGGGGATTGATTTCTTGCTTTGTCTCTCTCCCTCTCTCTTTCTGGTGAGCGCATGCACCCTCTAGCAAAAAAAAAAAAAAAAAAAAAAAAAACCTCCCCAAAAAAAAGGGGTTTGGAAATAAAAATGTCCTGTATTGGAGTCAGCAGGTGGCATTGGTAGTTGGGATGTGGGACTCCTACATGGTTGAGTCTGGGACCTGGTGGCTTGTTTTCTCACTTTCCCTTTCTCTGTCTCTCTGGTGAATGCACATGCCCTATAGCAAATTAAAATAATAACAATAAATTCTTAAAAAAAAGATACTGTATAGAAGTCATATCTCTTCCCAGACTACAATGAATGCCCCAATAATTCCAATAAAACTGATAGCCATCTTTAATCAGCAAAATAAATAAATTTCCAGATGGCTTACATGGCATTTATAAAGTTTCATATCATTCCTTCTTTGTATTTAACTGTCTAAAAAAAAGTCTTGATTTTATCAGATAGTTCTTGATGAGAAAAACCCATACAAGGACATAATTGCTTCCTTAGAAGCTCAACTTGGTCCCCCCATCATAAACTGAGTGTAAACATCATAATTGAGTCTCTGAAGCAGAGATTCCTAACTCCGGATGTCTAAATCACTTACAGGCTATCTTTTTTTTTTTTTTTTGGAGAGGCTTTTGCCTTAGGGCATGTGCACTCGCCAGAAAGACAGAGACAGAGAGACAGAAAGCGAAAAATCACCCCCCAGGGGGGATGGCCATGCCACAATCCCTTCTCCTCCATTCTCCTCGCGGGATCTTGGGCATGCATGCACATGCACCCGGTGTGAGTTTTAGGCCACCGGGTCCAGGACTTGAACCGCAGTTGACTACATGGGAGTCCAGCGACACAGCCATTACGCTAACTGCTGGTCCCTTACAGGCTATCTTGACATTATCAAAAAATATTGGGGCCAACAGATGGTGTAGCAGTTACATTGCTGAACTCCCACATGGCTGACCAGGGTTCAAATCCTGGACCAGTGGCTTGAAAATAACACTATGTGCATGTGCGTGCACGCCCAAGATCCTGGGAGGAGAATGGAGAAGAAGGGACTGTAGCATGGTTATCATATGTGGGGCATGACTTCTCACTTTTCCTCTCACTGTCTCTGTCTCTATCCTTCTCTTGCTCACTCCCTGGCACATGTGCACGCCCTAAGGCAAAATTTTCTAAAAAAAATAAACAAATAAAATAATCGGGACAAAGTTAATTTTATTAACTTAATATTTTCAAAGTCTTTTAAGGACGGAGCATTGTGAAAACAGAAGAATCAAAACTGGGTTTTATAATTGCTAAATGCGTAATATCACTTCCTAATCACATCTACTCTCTACCAATGGCATTTCTCCAAATTAGATGAGAAGGGAGCCCTTCAGCTCGGACTATACACCTTGGAGGATGGACTGTTTTCTGAGCAGCACCTTTATTTGTGATATACAACTTCTCTCTTAGCCAAAAGAAGCGTTCAAAGATATCGTAATACAAAGAGATGTCTGACACCTTGAGTTCAAACATTAAAAAAGAAATGAAGTGAAAGCTGCTAAAGACTCTAGACTAGGACAACAAAGAATTTTGTTGCTTTTGGAAAAGTGTGCAGTTAGTGTTGGGAAGGGCTGCGAGGTCAGAGCTGTAATGTGGACAATGACTCTTAGAAGCATACCTGACCATGCAAACGCCTGCTAGCAAGACCAGGAAAAAAACTTCTGAACACTTGCCTCAGAAGCTTGATGCAAAATATTGACAAAAGTGAGCAAGATTCAGGGGACATAGTTATACCTCACAGTACTGGAAAAGAAAAGAACAAAGAAAGAAGGTAAGGGCAACACATACTCACCGACTCAGCCATGGAATACTCAGAATTAAGTTTCTTTGCTAGGCCATAATCTCCAAGTTTTATCAGGTTTGCCTTGGTCAGAAAAATATTTAATGTCTTTATATCTCTGAAAAAAAGATGCTGCATATTAAGCCCATACGGACAAGTGTTCTTACTCAGCCCCACCTCAATCCTGCCCAGGATTAGTACAGAATGTGTGTTGTTGCTACTCAGATTCTGCTACAGGGTCCCAAACCTCCCATTCTGTGGTCATCACTTTCACACACACTTTAATGTTGAAGAGGGGACTTACGGAATAAAGGCAGAGAATTAACTTCATCCTCTAGTACTTTATAGCATAGGAATGTCTCCCATACCACTGAAGCCATAGGAAAAGTTGAGAGGGTCAGATGAGAAAAATAGTACTCCAGGTAACCATAATTCCTATAAGGTACACTGCCTCTTCCTCTACCACTTATGCCTTGAATAGAGTGATTTTTTTTTTTTTTGAGAAGTAAAGGGATTTCGCCAGCATTTATATATTCATATAACCAGTTACATATAAGCCTAAATAAAACTAATCTCCAGTAGGCTTTGAGATGGTATTCACCATCTTTGTAGAAATATGAGCATCACTAATGAATTACTAAATATATCTTTAGAAAGGGCACAAATAGTGATAGCACTTACTGAATTGAAATTACTATCAAAATAAAAACAAAAACAAAAAACAATATTAATTTAACCACAAGCCAGTCTTATTTAAATCAGGATTGTCTAACAAAAATAACCTGTCAGCCATTCATGATCTGAGTTCTGGTATAGGAGATCAATTAAAATATGGTACACATAAAAAAGGTGAGACATTTCTGTTTTGTCATAAATAAGGCAGTGGCCACCTATTACTCATTAGTAGCTTTTTTAAGATAAGCTATCAACTCTGCTCTTTCTGACTTCTTTATAATGCCAGCGAAGATCATTTTTGTTCCAGGGATGTACTTCTTGGGATTTTTCAAATACTCCATCAGTGTACCCTCTCCCCAGGTAATGCCTTTATTCTTGTTGGCATCTGTGTAAGAGAATCCAGGGGCCTGACCTGTCTTCCGCCCAAATAGACCATGGAGATTTGGGCCAGTCTTGTGCTTGCCTCCCTTTTCCACGGTGTGGCATTGGGCACACTTCTGAACAAAAATCTTCTTGCCTTTCTCAACATCACCCATTTTTAATTCTCTCTTTTGTCGCTTAGAGATATAGAGTAACCGCTCAGAAGTAAGACGACCCGCTCTCTTGAATAGAGTGATTATTAAGACAATTTTCACACATGGCTGGTATCAAAGCTTCTAATAATCTGTTAAGGCAAGCTGTATGTGTCAGTGACGACTAGGCTGTTCAGATCATTTATATGGTCCCTGGAGGGCCAGCAGGTGGCATGGAGGTTAAGGCACTGGATTCACCGATGGCTGACTGTGTGGTCTGAGTCTTGGACCCAGTGGTTTGATAAATATGTCAGGCATGTGTGTGTGTGCCCAAAATACCGAGAACAGAGAAGGGGCTGCGGTATGGCCACCCCTCTTAGGGGTGACTTTCCACTTTCTCCCCCTTTCTCTCAGCCTTGCAAGTAAGCACACATGCCCTTTGGCAAAAGCTAAAAAAAAAAAAAAAAAGCCCCCTAAATTTATTCTATTTTCCTAAGGTTCCTAAAGACTAAGTGACCACATGTAAAACAAAGTAACCTGTGCCTAGTTCACATCTGGCTTCCTTTATTAACAGGTATAAATAAACCAGGCTACACGTCGTTACTTTAAAAAAGAAAACAGCAACATGCAACAGCAGCCATTCATCAGCTATCAAGAAATACATGTTAACTGAACAAACCAACCACCACCAACAAAAAAATATACCCTAGCTTATCATAATTAATCCCTGGCAATGGGCAATAATTTACATAAGGATATAGTGATGTGGAAATGCTCTTACAATGGTTCTTTACGATAGCTAGAAATGATCAAAAATCTATTGTTTCCCCTCAAAAGATCTGTACAATTAATCGAATGAAATGAAGGGGTTATTTCAAAGAACTTACAAAATTAAAATCAATTGCCAGGGACCAGCAGGTGGTGTAGTGGTTACGTTGTTGGACTCCCACATGGCTGACTGTGGTTTGAGTCTTTGACCTGGGGGTTTAAAACACATCGGATGTGTGTGTGTGTGAATGCTCAAAATCCCACAGGAGAATGGAGAAGGGATTGCGGCACGGTCATTCCCCCGGGAGGTGATTTCTCGCTTTCTGCCTCTCTGTCTCTCCAGCTAGTGCATGCACCCTATAGTAAAAATCTCTCTTAAAAAAAAAAAAATAATAATAGGGCCAGTAGGTGGCATGGTTTGAGGAGCTAGACTCCCACATGGCTGACTGTGGTTTGAGTCCTGGAACTAGAGGTTTCCTTTCTCATTCTCTCTCTGTCAAATTAAAAATAATGATAAATAGGGGCTGGCAGGTGACATGGTGGTTAAAGGCGTTGGACTCCCACATGGCTGACCACAGTTCGAGTCCTGGACCTAGTGGCTTGCTTTCTTACTTTCCTTGTATCTCTCTTTTGCTCTGTCCCTCTCTGGTCAAATTAAAATAAATAAATGAATAAATAAAGTTAAATAAAATAAAAAATTCTTTAAAAAATAAATAAAATCAACTGCCAATTGTCAATATTTCTCAGAGAAAACATTCTGTGAATTCTAACCATACCCAATACTATTTCTTATAGGGCTTTCTAACCTTTACAGATGAATTAATAAACTGAACTGATTATCTCTCTAAAAGAAATGACTGCATGATACTTAGCTACTGTGGTCTATTCTCCTAGACCACACATGTGGTTTAACTTCAGGAAGTGAAGACTCTCTATTTCTCACTAACGTCCTGATTCTATCAACAGCAAAATCTTGACTGCTTAATCAAGAAGATAAAAGTGCTGATTGGATGTACCCAAGATGGAGGTTGGATCGGTGGGGAGGAATCCATCCCATGAATGTTTTCACTTATTACCTATGAAGGATCCCGGCTTTGTGGATACAGCTCACGGCTGAAACAATCTGAAATAGGTACCACACCACCATCTGAGGAAACAAAATAAATTATATTTGAGTTGGAAACAAAAAATTCCATTCAAATAAACACATACACACATAAACACAGGAAGCTGCAACCAGAATGTGATTCAACATGACTTAACATCTCTTGCTTATAGGTTGAGTAGGAAAAGAAAAAAAAAAAAAGTGGTAGAGGTAAAAAGAAAAACAGGTCACCAAAAAATAGTTCCAAGAGTGTTATAAAATACAGAATGGTGAAGCAGACTTATGGAAAGAAACCCAGGAAGAATACAAAGGTATAAAAAACTGGGCATGCCAGTCATAATGTGGAGGAAAAGTGTTTAGGAAGCAGCTAGACAGCTTCCTTGTGAGAGGTTTCCTTTCTCATGAATATCAATCAGAGCCTGGGAGGAGTCTGAACGAAAGGAAAAAAAAAAAAAAACCACTCATTACTGGAACAGTATAGAACTACCAGGTAAGAATTACAATATTATAATTCTGGCTTCCTTCCACAGAAATATGAATTACCTCTTCTTCAAACAACTTGTCCTTCTGACGAAGGATTTTGTCATAAAGGTTCCCTCCTGCAATTAAACAAGAGACATGTTTGAGTTGCTTAATAGAGAATGATGCTTGGCTCCTGTAATGAATAGGGTTTTAACAGGTGACACAATGAAATGAAGGTTTCTGCTTCCTATCCAAAGAAAATTAATTTTCCCCTCTTGGCTTTCCATATGGGTATATAAAACTCTTCCCGTCTCTCCAGGACTTTATTGGAAATATTCTCCCCTTCTGAACACAAGAAGCTCAATAAAAAAAACAGAAGGATGACATTTTTAGAAAAACTGAGAGTAAAGACATTTCTGTGGTATCCCAATTAGTGAAATATTTTCAAAATCAGATGATTTTCTCCTTTAAAATCCCCTTTTAAGAAACCTGCAATATTTCTGTAACTCTATCAATATGGTAACTAGAACAATTGGATTATACCTGTGATGCAATGTTTTATATACAGAGTGTATATGAATAAATTTTTCTATTTTACACACAAAAGGTTTCCCAAAACTTAAGGACCACTTCTACTATATATTGTTGCCAATCATTACTTCCTCTACTAATTCCTTCCTGTGACATAAGTGAGACTTACTCTCTCCTTTAACAAGTAATACAGACTGCAAATGATCATGGTTCATCTAACCTCCTATCTGCAACTTACATTTCAGCCCTGGGTAAGTTTGTACCATTTCTTTCCTCTGTAATTTAGTAACTCAGTTTCAATAAATGTGTCATTTGACACACTTCTTCCTGACCACATAAGAAGTTAACTACTTGATGCTACTGTTACTTCAAAATTTCTAATTACATATATTTAGGGGCCATCAGAACCAGAAACAATCGTGATACACAAAAGACTAGACAAGAAAGTTGTAAGTAAAGGATATACTGGGACCTCTTTAGCATGCAGTTTAAGAAAGAACTCTGGGGGATCAGCAGTTAGCCTAATGGCTATGTCGCTGGACTCCCATGTAGTAGACCGTGGTTCGGGTCCCAGACCTGGTGGCTTAAACTCACGCTGGGCACGTGTGCATGTGTGCCCAAGATCTCAAGAGGAGAATGGAGGAGAAGGGATTACGGCATGGCCATCCTCCCTGGGGAGTGATTTCTCGTTTTCTGTCTCTCTTTCTGGCGAGCGCACAAGCCCTATAGCAAAAACCTCTCCAAAAAAAAAAAAAGGAAAAGAGCTTTGGGATGAGGCCAGCAGGTGGAGTAGTGGTTAAGGTGCTGGACATATGACCAACTCTGGTTTGAGTCCTAGACTTGGTGGGCTTGAAATTCATCCCAGGGGTTTGTGCATGCATGCCCCAAATCCTAAGAGCAGAAGGAACTGTGGCATGTCCATGCCCCCTGGGGTGATTTCTTTCTTTCCCTCTCACTGTTTCTCCATCTCTCTCCGGCAAGCACATATACCCTATAGCAAAAACCTTAAAAAAAAGAATAGAAAAGGCTCCGAGGCCTCTCTTGTTCAATAAGGTTAAAAACTAGTACAGTATATATCAAAAACTTGCTATATACCAAATACTATGCTATGAGTTTTACAACAAACTCTTTTTAAGAAAGGAAACTAAAGAACAGAGAAGTTAAGTTTCTTGCTTAAGATGTTAGAGAGAATGGAACCTGAGATGAGCGTTGAGTCTAATTTTTTTTTGAGAGGTTTTTTTGTTATAGTGTGCATGCTCTCGCCAAAAAGACAGAGAGACAGAAAGCAAGAAATCACCCCCCAGGGAGGATGGCCACACCACAATCCCTTCTCCTCCATTCTCCTTTCGGGATCTCGGGCATGCACACACACGTGCCTGGCATGAGTTTAAGCCACCAGGTCCAGGACTCAAACTGTGGTCGACTACATGGGAGTCCAGCAACATAGCCATTATGCAAACTGCTGGTCCTGAGTCTAATTTTTTTTAACAACTAGGCTATAGAGTTATCTTAGAAGGAAAATGGTCCAAAGAACTCAGACAATGGATAAATAAGGCCATGCTTTAACTATGAAGCATTTTCATTGTTATGATCTTTAGATCATTTTTCCATGGGACAGTTTTAGCTTAAGTCAATGTAAATAATTATCACCAATAAGTTTTCTTGGAATATTATATAAAGTGCCAAGCCACAACATGTCTCTAATGGCTAATTTCATTTCATGAAGAAAAAAAAAAAAAGGAAAAATAAATGTAAAATTCAACAGAAGAAGGAAATTTGAAGATAGAACTATAATCACAAAGGAGAATTCCAGTATGCAGGGAAAAAAATCCCCCTTATTTTGTATATCACATCAAAACTCTCCAAGGCCTGAAATATTTCTCTGAAACTCCTGAAATCCATTCAAAGTTTTTATCACTATATATGCCCTTTCTTGTACTCTCCCCCTCAGAGGTAAGCATGAGTATGAGAATGTCTCGGTGGAGGAAGTCTAATTTACCATTACAATACTCCAGCTCTATCAGCAGGGTAGTATTGTCCATGAAGTGATTGTAGTAGGCAATAATGTTGTCATGCTGCAGCAGCGCCAGAATAACAATCTCATTCAAGGCATCACGACGTTCCTTCTCAGACAGTCGGGTCAAATCAACTTCCTTCCACACAACCAGTGAGTCATCCTGTAACACAGTAACAGAAGCATCGTGCTTTCCTCTTGCCTGGCAGCGAATTAATCCACACCCAGATCTTTAAACCTAGAAAGAAAACTTCCTAGAGGGGCAGAGACTGACTCCTTTGACTTTTTCCTTTCAACTAATAGACTTCAGTTAAAGGTTCTGCATACAATTGAGCCTTATAATTTATTGCTGGATTGGGGAAAGAAAAGCATTAAGATGTTGATACTTTGTGCTACCCTTAATTGGCCTGACCTATATTCTAGGTGAAAACAAGGGATGAGGGCAGATCTCAAAGAGCCTATCCAAGGACACTTTGAGAGATTGTTAGTCACGATGGGGATTGTGGTAGGACTAGAATACTGGAGAAGTACAGATAGAGAGCAGTTATCTAGAGTTGCCCACAGCATCTTATAAAATAGAAATAAGAAACTTGCCTCTGATTTTATAAATTAAGACTTCTCTAGTGATTTTCATTTACTCTTTTAGGATAAGAATACATGCCCCCCCACTCAGGTGGCATGGTGGTTAAGGGTGCTGGATTCCCATGTGGCCAACCGTGGTTCAAGTCCTGGACCTGGTGGCTTGCTTTCCTGTTTTCCTTCTCTCTCTCACTCTGTGCCGCTCTGATCAAATTAAAACAAATAAATAAATACAGTTAAATAAAATATAATTCTTTTTTTTTTTGGAGAGATTTTCACTGTAGGGCGCGTGCGCTCGCCAGACAGACAGAGAGAGACATAGAGACAGAAAGCGAGAAATCACCCCCCAGGGGGGATGGTCACGCCGCAATCCCTTCTCCTCCATTCTCCTCTCGGGATCTTGCGCACGCACACACACACACCTGGCGTGAGTTCTAAGCCACCGGGTCCGGGACGCGAACCGCGGTCGACTACGTGGGAGTCCAGCGACATAGCCATTACGCTAACTGCTGGTTCCCGGCATGTTTTAATTTTTAAAGAATTATATTTTTGGGAACCAGCAGTTAGCGTAATGGCTATGTCGCTGGACTCCCACGTAGTCGACCGCGGTTCGCGTCCCGGCTGGCGAGCGCACGCGCCCTACAGTGAAAATCTCTCCAAAAAAAAAAAAAAAAAAAATTAAAACATGCCCCAGTTTGAAACTCTATAATCTCCTGTCACACCTTTATATTATCGCCTTCTCCTTTACTCATAAAAACGGAACTGGGGGGCTGGCAGGTGGCATGGTAGTTAAAGCCACTGAACTCCCACATAGCTGACTGTGGTTTGAGTCTCGGACCTGGAAGCTTGCTTTCTCACTTCCTCTCTTTCTCTGGTCAGATTAAAAAACAAATAATAATAAAGTTAAATAAAATAATTCTTTAAAAAAATAAAACTGACCTGTAGCACCCAATGTCTACTCCCTTTTCTAACACCTTTAATTCTTCACTGATGCTGCTTGTCAGCCCAGGGGCATCCCCACCTATGTGACCCTCCCTACCCTTCTGCATGCCTCTGCCAGGCCTTGAACACTTCTTGGTAAGATCCTGATGAATCTTTCACTGTACATTTATCTGGTGTAACCGTTCCCGTAATTTTCAGCACTAATTTATTTATAATATCTGTCCATTCTTTCACATTTATAGAGATACACAACTTCAATGTCACTTGTTTACTAACAGGGCTAACTTGCCTTCCCTCTGAAAGATAAAACTTCCAGAAGGAAAGGGCTGCATCTAACTAAATCTGTGTAATTCACAAATCTAATAAATATTTGGTGAAATGGATAATGCTATGTAGTATTGGGGTTAGTGTAATCAAAAGTAACTCAAAGCAAACCCAGTAATCAAGTTCAACAGGATGCCAATGGAAAAGCATAGGCAAGGAGACGTGAGACTCTAGTTCCAGTTCAAGATCTACTTCTAATTTAAGTGGGCATGTCACTTAAATATACTGTCATAGTTTCTCTAACTAAAAAATACGAATACCAATTAATGTTCATCTCTTCTTTCTCACAGAGTGCAAATAAGAAAATGGCTAATAAAATAACGGTAACCCTAACGTCACATATCAATGTGGCATTAGGAATAAGAATAAAGATACTCTTTTGTAACTACTTCTTTCCTCTTTCAGCCTTGAATGTATGCTGACTTGTAACATACACCAGAGAACTGCAGATGGATCACTGATGGATGGACCGCCTTCTGCAGGCCCGACAAGTTCTCATTAAATGAAAGCTTGAGTGTTCAGATTTTAGTGATCAAATCCAGTCTCTAGGTAGTTTTTGGAAGGATAACCACTGCAGAGTTTTACATCAGTACACATTCTTAACCTGGGAGTCAGGGATCTATGGATGTCTGCAAAGGATGTGCACAGGTGTAAACGTGGATGAAAGGAGAAAGATGACTTTGCTTGGGGTTCTCAAAGGGGTCCTTGTCTCCCTCCAAGTTAAGAACTAAGGGCTTAGAATATACCAGTAGAGTATTACCCATGCATAATTGCTGCAGGATAAACACTGATGAAGAAACCAATACATGATCTTCTCAATGATTTTCAAGAAAAATCTCCAACTGAGCGATCATTTCTGAACTTAAAGATCATGACCAAGGTGGTCAAAGGTGAGGGCATTTTGAAGCTAAGCCCCTCCTCTCTCGATATAGGGGAGCTCTACAATATGGGAGGAAGTTTTGGCAATACCTCCCATTCCTACAGCACTTAAATTTATAGTTTGCAAAGCGCCTTCGTTTGAGTCCCAAACTAATCTTTTAAAAAACTGGTTTTAAAGACAGTTATCACTAAGCCCATTTTTACGGATGAGCAATGAAAGCTGAGACGTTTCAGGGACAGCAAAGCCAGTGACCTAACTGCTAGTGCAGGTGAGTCTGGAAGGGCGGGGGAGACCATGAGACATATACCCTGCGGGCACCTAAACACTGAGGACGGAGCGCGGGGCGCGGGGCAAGCGGGGAGCCGGTCGCGCTGCAAAGCGGGGCGGGAAGGAGGGGCTCGGGCAGCGCGGCACGCCCGGCGGGGCGGGGGAGCCGAGGCCGCTACCT